GGTTATATATCAAAGTATTTTCATATAGATTGCACGTATATAGACAATTTCAATTATACATAAAGCTGTACAATAATATGTTAAAGATACCTTGCACGGCCGAACTTTCTTATACTCGATTTTTGGTGCGTCACTGCATATGTACATTACGTTTCTTTTTCGTGTATAGTGGTGAATGTTCTGCTGATAAATTAGGATAAGGAACCTTGCTGACATCGAATTACCTGAGCTTCCAAAGCCTTGATCACTTCCCTCGTCTTCCCCGTGAATTCAATTGGGGGGGGGTTTTCTGTTTGGTTTATTCCTAATGTGGAGAGTATTTCGCTCTATTGACCTTATAGTATCACAATGTTTTCATTCGATTGTGCAGAATGTTTGGTGCCGAATCGAAGTCGCTAGCACATATATTTGGCGAGAAGCTTGATCAGCACATGACATCAAAAGTGGTATGTTGTAAACTGCAGACCTTAGTTTGTTAACGCAGGTATGACAACATCCCAAGAGGTAATCAGGCTCATCGGTATGGACTAATACTGAGCGAGGATCGCTGGCAGATGCTATAGAGATCTGTGCTGGTTTGTAGCTTTTTCCTGAGGATATCTGTCACTTAATGCAGGTATCATATTTATATATATATATATATATATACGTGTGTGTGTGTGTGTGTGTGTGTATGATGTGCTTGTATGGATAATAGTTAACATAGAAAACCGTAGACATGAACAAATCACTCACCCGCTAATTGTAACGCGTGCCCTGCTTTTCTCGATTTTCCACAGGTTTATTTTGGGCGGTCAAACTGTGATGTCAACTTAGCATTCGAGGGACGTTCGCTCAAGATTTCTCGGTTACAAGGCGCCATCAAGCTCAAGAGTAATCTCAGATTCTATTTATATAACTACGGCAAGCGGGAGATATACGTAAACGGCGTCGCTGTAAACAAAGGCGAGCGCCTTGTACTTAACCATATGGCTTTAATAGAGGTATTGTGTCTTAGGGTTATACATCCATTGCCCACTTCTCACTTACTTAATCATATGGCTTTAATAGAAGTATTGTGTCTCAGGGTTATACATCCATTGCCCACTTCTCACTTACTTAATCATATGGCTTTAATAGAAGTATTGTGTCTCAGGGTTATATATCCATTGCCCACTTCTCACTTACTTAACCATATGGCTTTAATAGAGGTATTGAGTCTCAGGGTGATATATCCATTGCCCCCACTTCTCACTTAGTTTGCCATCTCAAAGCACCATTGTATTTCAAAAACACGTTTACTTTCAAAATAAGTACCATCCCCCAAGCTCGGCTCGCATAGTTTTGAATATAACCGGCCTTGTTCTATTGTCCAACCTCTAATTTCCAAACTTCCGTTTGCCCTTTTGTTCTCATTGTATAGCGAATATCGGATGTTCCTAACTCAACCTTCCAACTTCTACTCTCCTTTTTTTCCCGCAGATCTTTGAGTATAAACTGTTATTTTCAGTGAACCTCGCGCTACTATCAGATATAAGCCACGATGTAATTAACGCCGTCGTCAGTCAGTACGACGCAAAAAAATAGATGAGATAATAATAAAGTACGAATTGAACAAGTTTTGCTTGCTTGCCGCACACACGTATATACCAA